GTTACATGTTACCAGTAGCAGGATGATCATGAAGACCATACTCCTGACCTGACACCTATTTAAATTTATTAAAATTTGGCGTAAACTAATAAGCTATTGTTTTGCTTATAATTCTTTCTCTTATTTAGTTATTTTTTAGCTCTCTTTTTTTTTCTCTTTCTTTATTTTTTACTCTCTATAAAAGATCCTCTAAATAAAATATTTCCAGATCAATTATTGCTATTATTATTACTAATTATTAACTATAAAAGATCCTCTAAATAAAACATTTTCAAATCAATTTTTTGTTGTTGTGCAACAATGCCCCTTTCCCCCATACTTTTAATAAGAAAGCAAGAAAAAATGATCAACCAGCATTAATATTTTCTAAAATAAGAAAAAATGCCAAATTTTTTCTAAAAACAACTTTCAAAGTACATAATGCAGCCTTTGGAATTAGGAAAAAATGAGGTTGGCAATCTTTTGCTTGCCAACTTTGGGACAAAGATTTTACCATAAAACATAGAAATGAGGTCGATAATTTTTCACTAACTAAAATATTTTTAGGTCACAGAAACTTGCAGAACCTTTCTAAAAATCATTTTAATAAATATTAAGTATATTAAAAATTTTACAAAAAAGTTTAAATATATTTAATTATATTTTGTCACTTTTTTCTTTATTAGTCATTTTTCTATTTAAAACTATACTGGCACATATAGCATTGTTTTAAATAGGAAAATTATATATTAAAAAGGATATATTATTTTTTTAATCTTTATTATTATTATTATTTTTCAGATTTGGATTCCCTGCAACATTCTTCATTAAAATTAACCCTCTGTTATTGAAATTAAAAAAATTGACACCCCCTGCTACCCACCCCCTGTTGCTACACTGAATAAAGGTGTTTTTAAGATTACATTTTAGAATGCAATTTTTATTTTTAATTAGAGTTGGCCATGAATATCTCTGCTGTTTAAATTCAGAGAGGTAGAAATCCTAAATTTTATTAAATTTTTGTTGTGTAGTTGTCTAAACAAAAATAGTTGCTGCTCACTTTGACTTGTAAAAGTATAAATATAGTGTAGAGGTTTATACCTCTGAAAAACTTATTTTTTTATCTAAGGGGTCGTCCATAAAGTATGTCACGCTATTTTTTTCAATTTTCAACCCCCTCCCCCCCTCCTGTCACAAACTGTCACATATTTCTGCACCCCCCCCCCCCCTAAAAAAGTATGTCACATGTTTCTCCCCCCCCCCCCCCCCCCCATCCCTCTAAAAAAAAAAACAAACCATTACGGAATTTTCAACATTCTAAAAACATAGTAATAGCTATTTAACAGAATAAAAAAGACTCAATTTAACTAATTTGAAATACCTTCTTAATTTATTGGGAAAGATTGTCATCATAAAATAAAATAAAAATAGTTTTTTTATTTGAACCTTATGTTTTTCAAATTACAAATTAAACTTTTACTTTATCTACCCATTTATTATTATCCATCCACGGAGATTTGAAGTGTTCGTCTATAGTTAGGACAGGCATTTCTGATGTTTTTTCTAAATCTTCATCTGGAATGACAATTCCCAAAACATCAACTTCGTCTTCATCCAGCCACTCTATATCTTCATTTTTTTCTCGAGCAATAACTACCATCAGCTCTCTTTGTCTTCTAGCGGCTACTCTTATTGGTCTGATACGCTTTGTTTGAGTTTTCTCAAGAACAGTATTTCCTTTATCGCAATTTTTGTGCAATTCGACATGTTTTTTCAAGATAGCTTGAGAAGCAAAATAGAGATGGCAAACTTTGCATATTCGATTCAATAGACAAGTCTGTACTGATGGACAAAAGAGATCATAAGGATGAACTTGGAAACTTCCTGCCGATCTGGCCATTATATCATCTATTTTAATACTATGTGAAACAAAAAGTGATGGATACTTATGAGACTCACTGTCTCCTCTTTTGTCAGCTTGAAGACCATTACTTGTTTGAATAACTGGAATTGGAGGACATAAAAATCGCGAAGGAACAACATTGAAATATGAGCTTCTTATTTTAAAGCAACATTTTACATCTTGACATTTAACAATTTGAGTAAAGTATTGACTTGTGCGGACGTGTTCAGAAAACCATTTTATATCTTTAATTATCAATTCTTCTGCATCTAGCTCAGATGTCTCTGGATCAATAAACTCGGCAACTGTTGGAAACTGGTCAATAATAACTTGTGACCATATTTCAGCCAATGTTTGTCCAGGATACTTGAAATTTCTTCTCTCCAAATAATCATCTATTGTTCTGCCCTGTGAATCGAGATGGCTACCATAGCGTTCATGAGGCAATATAACACCAGAAAGTTCTCTGCTCAGTGGAGCCATTCGACGTTCCACTCTATTGAAAGCACTTCTACCTGGCGCGTTGGTTGCAATAAATAAGGCGTCTAGATTATTTTTAACAAAATGGTGGATAGCAACATCTATGACTTTTTGATAACGTGGATTTTCATCTGGTCCTCTATCCACCGTGAAGACAACAATAGGCTTTATTATCTTATCTCTGCCGTCTTTTGTTATTGCATCAAATTCGTCTAATTGTAACAATCTCTCAAAGTCGAAAAACATGAGCAAGAGCAGAAGAAGACGAATGTTTGCCTGATCGGATTGCAATATAAGTTGGACCTGAATACGTAACAGCGTCTGGTTTACCAAGTCCATCTTTCTTGATGCAAATTCCAGCATATACTGATGGAATAAGCTTATGTCTTGCTGCAACAACCCAATCGTGGTCTGGCAAATTGATGCGATATTCAACATGCATAAGCAATGGAGCTTGTTTGATTGCAGCTGTTAACCCAATAGGGACTCGCGCTTTGTCATCTTGGCTAATAAAACAGACTTCTTTTGGTCCCAGTATAGACGACAACTCTTCCAGGTGTCTCAAGGTTGCTGTACAGAATTTTCCATCGATGTGCTTTGAGTGTGACTCATTCTGAGATCGGATCAATTTGACTGGCACTGTTGATATGTGTCTTTTTCCTTCCAAAGTTGAACTTCGTCGTGGCATTAGCCGAGTGTAAACGGTGCTCCTACTCACCTGATAACCATCTTTATTTAGTTGCTTAGTCAATTCATCTAGTGTTTTAATACTGCGATACATATCACTTTGTCGTTTTTCATGTGCAGCTGATCCATGTAAAGCAATATCAACAATGGCTTTCAGGAAAAGTGGTTGATTAATTTCAACAGAAGGTCGACCTGTTTTATCTTTTGCTTTCAAAGCATCACAAACTCCAGGGTTCTCTGCGCAAATTTTAGCGAGAGTTTCTCTTTTTTTTGCTCTAGTTTTTTTCTGTCTTGCTTGTTCTTTCTTTTTTTTAACAAACTTTTCTGTGCAAATCAATCATTACGACATGATGATGCGAAAACTATACCACGTAAATTATCGGCTCCATATAAAAGAAAAGACAGTGGTATTATTACGAATGATCAAGAAGCTCTGCTTCTTGATCATTCGTAATAATACCACTGTCTTTTCTTTTATGTAGTCCAACTAAATCACTCTTGATAACATCAATTTTAACTTTTAGTTCATCTTGAACTTTTGTTTTATATATTCCTACATTTTCAGAACCAGACATTGATGAAGTTATCATAGAACATTCACAAGAAGAAGCTTTACATTTATTACCCCCTACAACAGTATCTGGTAATTTTGCTAGAACATCCGGAGCCGATGATTTACGTGGTATAGTTTTCGCATCATCATGTCGTAATGATTGATTTGCCCAGAAACTCATCAGTGTACCTTTTTTCTTTTTAAACAGAGCATCATATTCTCTTAACAGGGAGTCTACTTTTGCAGAAAGATTATCTTCAGATTTCACCTTACTCCAAATATCATTAACTTCCTTTTGACAATCTTGTTTCCTCTTCTGTGAATATGCCTTAACATAGGCATCATAAAGTGATGCGTATAACTGTCCTTTGTCCATCTTTATATTATGAATTGCCTGAAACACATTTGCACTCATTTAGAGAAATTAAAAATGTTGTATTTATGCCATAATATCAATTACTACTAACTTAGTTATACTGAGCGCTAACTAGCTTCTATCCTATTTACACTATTATTTGATAATAATCTTTGTTTGCTATTGGCTATTCAAAGCATGAGCAAGTCTATTTAACTTAGTTATTATATATTATATATTTAAGTAGTCATATATTCTTGCTTAAATGTAAATATAACTAAAACTCTTATGTTTATATAATGCCATAAGATTCAAAAAAATAAATAATATAAAAGATAATATTTTAAAAATGTTTTATTTACTTATTTAAACTCTCTATTTAAAATTCCAAACTTAAATTATACGTTCTTAATTTAATGATTTTGCATTGCTGCGCTTTAATGTCTTCAGAAACTTGAAGGCAGTTTTTTGCGAACTTTTTAAACTATTCAAAACTATTTAAAATACGGCGATACGCAAAACATAAGAAGTGTAAGTAAAATTTTAGGCAATCGGAAATACTCCTTTAATTGAATGAGTAAATAAGTAGAAAATAATCATGATAAATAATTTTTGTGATGTCACATTCGTCAAACTCCCCCCTCCCCCCTTGTCACAAATTGTCACAAACTTATGCCTCCCCCCCCCCCCTAGTAGCGTGACGTACTTTATGGATGACCCCTAAGTATGGAATTTTGTATTATTTTTTAAAGTTTACAAATTTGTTTTTGATAAATTTTTTTCACTTTAAATAAAAAAACCTTGTTCATTATTGAACATTTTTTATAATAAGTTGTTTATTATCTTAAATTAAAAAAAAAAGAATTTTTAAATAAAATTTCTGAATAATTTATGCTTTTTTTAAATTATATTAAATAATGAAACAATTAATTATATTATTAACATAAAATAATTGTTAAAAAAGTATTACTGAATAATAATTCAGTAAAAAAATATTATTTAGATAAAAATCAAAAAGGTAAAAAATTTAATTTTTCATTTAGTTATTAAAAGGTTTTGGGGATTTGGGACCTCCATTGCAAGAATATGAAGGTACCGTTTCTGTATTTCCTGGTGTGGAACAAGGCGCAGAAGCACTCCTATCTAAAACTAAAGACAATGCAAATACTATAAAAAGGATGATTGTCGTTACTACAATCCATGAGTATTTTTGCTTAATTTTAAAACTTTCATACATATAACTTTTATATATATTTTATATATATTTATTTAAACTATTCAAGTCTTGTGTGTGTGTGTGTATATATATATATATATATATATATATATATATATATATATATATATATATATATATATATATATATATATATATATATATATATATATATATATATATATATATATGTATATGTATATTTATATATATATATATATATATATGTATATGTATATTTATATATATATATATATATATATATATATATATATATATATATATATATATATATATATATATATATATATATATATATATATATCATTATCATTTTTATCATTGCAAATCAATGCAAAAAGATAATGTCTTACACAAGGTTACTCTCATATTTTATCTCTTAAGTCTTGAGATTCTCATTCATGGGTCTGATCTTATTACCTTATTACCAAAGAAATATTTGCAAAAAACATTGCTTTAATTTGTCCCTGTTAATTAAATAAGTTAAATTAGTTAAGTTATTTCTCACTTTGTATTCTCTTGTGGTTCAGACAGCATTTTTGTAACAGTCTTAAAAAGGTTTTTCTGTTTTTTTTTTTTTGGTTTTTTAGTTTTTTCTGAATATCTTTAATATTCTCTAAACTATTTAACAAGTGCTTAACTAAATCTTTTTTTTCCTGCCTGATGGAAAATGGTTTTTTTACCCAGTCTTCTTAACATTATTAGCAAAGTCATTTTTAACAAACTTTTAGCAAACTGCTCATATTTCATCTTGAGCCTGCTTATTCTTTGACAATCTTTTTTTTGGGGCTTTGATCTTATTCTTCTGTTGACTTATTAAACATCATAACAGAAAAATCATGCATTAAAAGTAAGCAGCGAGGCATATGATATTGCTATTAATATTTCAAAGTTTGACATGCTGGTCTTCATTAGGTTGTTTTATACACTCTCCATTAGGTTGTTTTATATGGTATTTATGGGAAATTTAATTTAAAATTATTTCTTTTTAACGGCATTATTGAAATTGTCCTTCAGGGGTAACAAGAGGTTCCATCCTTGGTCCTTTGTTGTTCCTCATCTATATATATAATGTTCCTCCTAATAATCTTACCTTTAAATTGAATTCTATTGATGAATTTTGATTGATTTATAAAAATCTCAATTTTTTTGCTTAAATAATTTAAACTGTATTTTTACAGTGATGTAAGTGAGAAAAGTTGTCTTTTTTAGTAAAAAATGTTGTCATGCTCCTAAGATAATGTCTTATTGAAATTGAACTGATAATATTATATTTTTTGTTCAATTGAAAGTCTTGAGTTGCTGTTGAATGATTCTTCTGTTCATATTGTTGCATTGTTTCATAATTACCATTTTAATGAGAAAATGGTTGTGATGTTGTTTATCATTTAAAATTTTATAAACAACTATGAAACAAAAATATTTAACTTTCTAGTGAAAGAGATTCCAAATCAATCAGCAATGTTGTATGGGAAATGCAAAATCATTTGGAAAAAAGCAAGTATGTTGTATTTTTTAATAATACAGTATAGTTTTTATAACTTTTACTGCTTTTGTAATTTTTATTGAGAAAATTTTATTGTGTTCTTTATAATTTATGTAAATTTATACAATAGCTTAGAAAGTGCTTTCAGTAGAAAGAATATCACTTTATAACACTTTTGCTTACATCAATAATTTATAATTGTACAAGTTTCTATATCTGGTTTGCAGTCACACCAATGTGTTGTTTTTTTGTTGCATCAGACATGTTTTTTATTTTAAAAAAATTTATGGGGAGAACTTGTACAATTATAAATTGTTGAAGCATCCAAAATCATTATAAAGTATTTTATTTCAATTTGAAATAAAATAAATAGTAATAAATTTAATGAAATAATAAAATAATTATATTACAAGATTGAAATTTAGGTGAATAGATTTTTTTCTTTCTTAAGTACTTAATTAATTTTTAAGAAACTTAGTGAATTTTGTTATTGTTATAGGGTTTTTGATATCGACCTACTTGTTGTGAATATTTCTAAAGACAATAAAGTTTCTCATCCGAGGTTGCGAGTATGTTGAATATTGTATTTTTTAATAAAATATTTGTTCTACTTCTTTATTTATTATTTTTATCTTTTTTTTTTTTTTTTTTTTAATTTAATTTATATAAAAAAGAAATAATAGAGTTAGAGAATAATAATAGTAATTAAAAGTTAAAATATGTTCAAAATATTAAAAATGGTTGAAAACCAGTATTATTAGCGTTGCTCAATCAGGCAGCTTATATAGTTTAAATCTTGCTACTTTCCATAAACTTCTAGAAGACTCTAAAAAATTCTAGAAAGTTTCAAAGATTTCTAAAAGCATTCAGAACAGGCTTCAGAATGTCATAATGCTACTGCTTGTCAATACTACTTATATACCATATTTAAAGTTTTGTGTTGTGGGTGACCTTTTTTGAGTAAAATTATTTTTCATGAAATTTCTGAAATTGAGTACCAGGTGGTACCCCCATGCCACCACCTGGTCCTCAATTTCAGAAATTGAGGATCAGGCAAACAATAACGAAAAAATTTCTTACTGTCCTAACCCTAGCCAATTTAAGTATAAAAGTTATTCTCTATATTTCATTTTACACATCGGCTTAAAAGTGAAATTTTCTATTTTTCAGTTCACACACTGAGTTAAAAGTGAATTTTTCTTTATTTTAGTTGACAGAGTTAAAAGAAATACAATTGATTTCAAATGATATTTTTGTTATTGTTGTTTTAAATGTGTTAAAAATCAGATCAGATGCATGTAAAAGATAATAAATCTTTTATGCACATTTAAAGAAATCTCTTCAATTTCTTACAAAAAAAATCTTTAAAAACTTTATAGATTTTAAAAGCTTTATGAGAAAACATTTATAAGAAGAGTAAACAGCTCAATGATTTGAAAACCACAAATCAAAATCTTGCAAACAATGCAATATAGAATACCAGACCAGATACGGCAGATTTATATAGAATGCTCCTAATTTTAATAACTCAATAAAATATCATGAAGCTTTTTGGATCAGATCTGCAACTATGTTCCTTTTTTTTTGTGAAAACATTGATAAAATGTGTAGCTCTATTATTATTGTTTGATTGCAAACTTACTAGCTGTTGGTCTGTGACAAATTCATTTTTTTTAATTTTCAAATCTTAGCCTTGATTTGGAATTTTCTTAATTTAACTTTTCTTAATTTGTTTTAGAATTTTCTTTATTTTTTTCTGTTTTCTGTTTCAGTTCTAATGTATTTCAGTTCTAATTTTGTATTTTTTTTTTAATTGGCATTTTATAAGAGATTTAAAGCATGCAATTGAATTGTACGTGATATTGCAATTGTACGTGATATTGCATATATTAAAAAGCATGAAATGTAAAAGTAATATTGTTATTTTGAGTTTGAATTACTAAAGATAAGTTTTTTAGTTTTATGAATGCACCATACACTAAACATCATTGATAAAAATTGGTTACTATGAATACACCGCATGCTAAACAATATTGATAAAAAGTTTGCTGCTTTGAAAATAATGTTTTGAATTTTTTTTATTTATTTTTTATTTTAAACCTCTTTTACAATTTTTCAGCCTCTTTTACAAGTTTTATGTCTCTTTTGCATGTTTTAAGCCTCTTTCGTAAATAGTTTTATGATTAGATAATCAAACTATTCTTAAATGCTGATTTTGTTACTTTCATTATAATCTGTTATAAAAACTCTAATTAGATTTGGGATAGTTTTAAGAGCATCGTAGTTTTACGAGGTGCTTGTAAATACTATATAGTCAGGCTTGGTCGGGAAGCGGGAGCGATCGCTCTCGATTGCCGACCACGTAAATAATATTGAGTTGCGAAAAGCTGGCCAGATTTTTTAGTCGTTTTGAGAACATTTTAAGAAGCAAAAAAAAAAAAAGCGACAAAGAGTAATTGGACCGATGAGAGACAATTACAAAAAAAAAAAAAGTAGGCAAATAAAATATCTTTAAACGCGAAAAAACTTTAAGCTAAATAAATTACATTTAAAACAAATATTTTCAAAACATCGCTTTTTTATAATTTTTTTTATAAAATTAAGCGATGTTTTTTGTAACAACTTTTGATTGTTTAAAAGGGAAACAAATATTCTTTATTTAACTAAGTTTGCAAGTTTTAGTTTTACTTAAGCTAAATTATTTTATAAATAAAAAAGTTAATTTTTTTAATACCTATTTTATGTTTCGCGTAGTTTGAAAAGTTTAACATATTTGAAGGGATTCTTTTTAGTAAGATAAACAAATGAAATAATTAAATCATTGGAATTAAATTATCAAGATAGAAATCAACTAAAAAGGTTAAAAATACTTAATGACCAGGAAGCGAAACTGCTTCACAATATCACTGATGATGTTTGATGAGTGGGCTTTTTAATTTTAATTAGTGTTTAAAGCAGAAAAAAGTATAATGAGTTTTAAGAATGGCAACTTAAGCGAAAATAATTAGAGTTAGTAAACCAATATCTAGAAACTTTTCTTTATATCTAATTATTTGCTATTATATATTTGTGTTCTGTCGTGACCTTAGGTGCGATGCTTGTTCATCCGCGAGTTACTTTGTATGCGTTGTTTGTGTTTAGTAACCAGAAACTTCTTATATGTTTGTTACATAATTAGTTTTATTAACTTTAACGATTATAACTTCATTGAAAACGCAATTATTTTTGTAAGTCTTTGTTTAAATCATAAAAATTGCTTCAAAAGATCAAAAGACATTATGATAAAAAACAAATACACAAAATTACATTTACATAAAGAATACAATCTCTTTTAAAATAAAAAATAAGAATATACAATTAAAATCTATGATTTATAATAAACTTTTAAAATTTTGACAATTTAATTAATATATATTTAAAACATTTATTTTCGTAAACAAATAATATATATTCTTAAAACAATGCTAGAAATCTCAAAATGTAACAAATCATGAAAAATTTCTAAAACATTTTAACAGAATGCACTAGAACTTTATTTTGCTTAATCAGCGTTTTTTTTTTGAACCAATAGAATTAGTTTGTTTGTTAATCTGGCGGGTTTTTAGTGTTCGCAAATATTCTTTTTATTCTTTCGCACAAAGATTGAGAACATTCAAGTTTTTTATGTTTCCATGAATGTCCGTAAAACAAAAATTCCTTGTTTCGTACATAAACTTAAATGTTCTCAAAACGACTAAAAAACCTGGCCAGTTTTACGCAACTAAATATAATTTCTGTGGTCAGTATTCGAGAGCGATCGCTCCCGCTTCCCAACCAAGCCTGTATAGTATAATATATATCATCCATATATACTATATATCATCCTAGTAACAATAAAAATGCTCAGACATGATCTGAAAAAAAAGTTTAATGCTGTGAAGGGCATTAGATTGTAAATAAATTGTTTTAACTGGTGTAGCACCACAACTCACTGGTGTAGCACCACAACACACAGGTGTAGCACCACAACACACTGGTGTAGCACCACAACACACTGGTGTAGCACCACAACACACTGGTATAGCACAACAACACACTGGTGTAGCACCACAACACACTGGTGTAGCACCACAAATATAAAAGAATATTTAACTCTCTAAAACATTTATAAAAGTGTTTTTTGTTTTCAATTTTCAATTTAGTTTTATTTTAATGAAAAAAATATGTGCTAATGAACAATGGAGGTGGTAAATTAAATAAAAAATTATCTGTTTAGGTAAGGCATATTTTTCAACCATATAACTAATAGGATGCTGGTGTTAAAATATACATTCCCAGTAAAAGTGCTTACACATGTTGTAACGAAAAATATGATTTTGTTAGTTATGATAATATTAAGTGAACAACTTATTTAATAAATAACTGTTTATTTATTTTCTGTTTAAAAAATTTCTAGGTCTCTCCTCATCTTGAAGTTACAACTATAACATTAAAACCTAACCAGTGTTCGGAAAAATTAGCTTTATTAACGAGAAGACATTACAATCTACAATCTACTATAGTGACTGGCATACCAATGAAAGTAATTAATTGATTTTTTTTTCTTTTATTATCAAATCTGCTACTATTTCATTATTTTAAGTAATTCAAAATTTGCTTTTTGGGTTGTTTTTTTCTTTTAGTTTTAGCCATAATATTGACTTTTAGGAAGAGCAACATTCTGGTATGTCATCCATTTATTCTGTTGAAATGATTCATTTAGCTGCTGCTCATCATAATGTTGATTACCCAGGTAAAATTGTTTTACATAGTTTTTAGTTTTTTTTTTAAATTTCCTAATAGAGTTTGATTCAAATAAATAATATAAATCTTATAATCAATATTTTTATTATACAACATAGTTCAATGTTTTGATTACAAATATTTATGCATTTGTTTTTTGAAGCCTTGAATTTTTAAATTATAGACTTAAGAGTAGGTTTAAAAAGGCAAATAATTATAAAATAGATAAGACCCTTTGGCCTTAAAAAAAAAAATTTTTACGTTATATATTTTGACATTTTTCAAGCCATCAAGGTCAAGTGTAGTCTTGACCATGCAATCCCTTGTACAAGAATGGTACTCTTTTTTGTTGTTGTTGTTGTTGTTGTTGTTGTTGTTGTTGTTACAACTCTCTCAGTCCTACAAATTCAAAACACAAACTTTGAAAAACAAGGCTGCTGTGTTAAGCAACATGTCCAAAGTAATATTTTGTGGTACTGTTAAAAATACCTTTAGCATGAGATTAGTCTTTTTATTTCACGATTAGTTTTTTTTTTCTAAACATAAAATTCTACAGCAATAAAAAAAATATTTTATCTGACTTTATAACTAATAAAACATTGTCAAATATTTAAATGTTTTAAAACTTTAACTTTGTTTTTGAGACTTTGTTGTTTGAGTTATTTGAGAAAATATTTTCAAATTAAATTAAAAAAATGCAGTTAAAATAAAAGTTAATTTAAACTTTTTGTTGACTTTATAAGTAATAGGTTGTTATTATGTTAATTGTGTTTATTTTTAATTTATGAAACGGTCTTAAAAATTCTGTTATTAAACTTGAAAAAGTTTTATTGTTTTGGTTCGAAATCCTAAAAATAAAAAAAAACAAATTTGTTAGATTTTTTAAGTAAAAGAAACTATATCTAATGTGCTCAAATAAAATAATATCATAAAAAGTATATTATATGTATGTGCTTAAATATTACAAAAGAAAAAGAAGTATAATGAAAAAGCAATTGCTTCCCCAACCAAAACCCTTAGTTGATGTAGTGGCACCCTCTTGTATGTTCTACAAAATAGTCAGTTTATGTATGTACTGAAACTCTCATAGCTACCTATTTCAGTATGACATTATATTGCTTAGCTAAATACGCATTACACACACACCTATGAAAAACTTATGTTTACTGTTTTTTGTAAAAATCATCTCTTAAGTTATTTTTTTGATTAAAGTTGACAAAATTAGGAGCACCAAGTACCATTATAATAAATAAGGAAATTAATATATTATAAACTATATGTATAAATATGTTTGTGTGTTTGTGTGTATATATATATATATATATATATATATATATATATATATATATATATATATATATATATATATATATATATATATATATATATATATATATATATATATATATATATATATATAAATGTTTAAATAAATAGATAGAAATATCTATATATAAATATATTCATTTGTTGTATTTTAAATGTTATTATTTACTTATCATTATTTTTACCCAATTTTGATTTATCTGATTTTAAACTTATTCCAAAAGTAAAAATTTGTCAATGTATAAAATAAAAGTTTTAAAACAAAAATAATAATTAAATTATTTTAATTGAAATGTAAATTAAGCTGAATTTATTATTACATTGATTTTTGATTTTTGTTACACTTAGATTTAAAAAGTGCTCCGTTACTACCCAAGAAATCATCTCGCTCATCTGTCACATTGAAGTGGTGTACTCCAAAGACAAATAGTAGTCATGGTAATGTTTATAAAGTTTAAAATAGTTAATGTCACATTGTAGCAAACATAAAAATAAAAGTTAAAAATTTGAATATAGTTTTAAAAATTTTTATTTTTCTTTATTATGAACAAATAATACTTAATTATTTATAAAAATATTAATTACACAATATATGAACAAATAATACTTAATTATTTTTTAATTACACAATATATGAACAAATAATACTTAATCATTTTTTAATTACACAATATATGAACAAATAATACTTAATTATTTTTAATTACACAATATATGAACAAATAATACTTAATTATTTTTAATTACACAATATATGAACAAATAATACTTAATTATTTTTAATTACACAATATATGAACAAATAATACTTAATTATTTTTAATTACACAATATATGAACAAATAATACTTAATTATTTTTAATTACACAATATATGAACAAATAATACTTAATTATTTTTAATTACACAATATATGAACAAATAATACTTAATCATTTTTTAATTACACAATATATGAACAAATAATACTTAATTATTTTTAATTACACAATATATGAACAAATAATACTTAATCATTTTATAATTACACAATATATGAACAAATAATACTTAATTATTTTTAATTACACAATATATGAACAAATAATACTTAATCATTTTTAATTACACAATATATGAACAAATAATACTTAATTATTTTTAATTACACAATATATGAACAAATAATACTTAATTATTTTTAATTACACAATATATGAACAAATAATACTTAATTATTTTTAATTACACAATATATGAACAAATAATACTTAATTATTTTTAATTACACAATATATGAACAAATAATACTTAATCATTTTTTAATTACACAATATATGAACAAATAATACTTAATTATTTTTAATTACACAATATATGAACAAATAATACTTAATCATTTTATAATTACACAATATATGAACAAATAATACTTAATTATTTTTAATTACACAATATATGAACAAATAATACTTAATCATTTTTAATTACACAATATATGAACAAATAATACTTAATTATTTTTAATTACACAATATATGAACAAATAATACTTAATCATTTTTTAATTACACAATATATGAACAAATAATACTTAATTATTTTTAATTACACAATATATGAACAAATAATACTTAATCATTTTTAATTACACAATATATGAACAAATAATACTTAATTATTTTTTAATTACACAATATATGAACAAATAATACTTTATCATTTTTTAATTACACAATATATGAACAAATAATACTTAATTATATTTTATTTACACAATATATAAAAGGGTTTTAACTCAATTATTAGCAATTTTTAAATCAAATTATTTTTATATATAACACACACATATACCTTACCTGTGTCAACACTTGACTTTGCAATATCAATTCTCAATCTCGTATAATAATGGAAAATTAAAAAAAGAAGCATCTTTTTTTTTTTAATCTTTGATAAGCAGCCTCCTAATCTGTCCTTCTTGATAAACAAAACTTTAAGTTAAGTTAAAGATAAAATTTAGATATTTTTAACAAATTTATGAACAAATTATGAATGAGTTAATATGATTTAAAAATATAATTACTAATTAAGCTAATATTTATTAATAAATTATTTTTTTGGTTTTTAAATTGCTGTTTATAGAGTTACAAACATGTGTTGGAACATTTCTAGTTACACCAACTGAGGTATGGATTGTAAAAATAATTTTATGCTAAATATAAAATAACAACTGCAAAACAGAAACAAAGCATGTTTGTTTATAAACCGCAGTGAAAAACCATTAAATGTAATCATTATTTGTTTAGGTGAATTCTAGACCTGCTGCTTGTCTAACTATGTTTCTATTACAAGGTAAAATTGTTAATAACTTAATTTAAAGTGTAAAATAAAATGTTGTTTGTTTAATTTGAAAATTGTGAAGATGAAAATATTTATAGAAAATTGACAAGCTAACAATTGTGAAGATGAAAATATTTATAGAAAATTGTTAAGCTAAAAATATTAATTTGTTGAGTAAGCAATAAAAAGAACTATTGGTTAAAAAACTACAGCAGAATAGCTGTGTTTCATTGTTGTGATTCTGACCTTTTAAATATAATTTTCTCCAACCTTTCACTCCCTTTTGAATACAATTTATTTTATAATTTAATCATTTGTTTTAAGGGAGAACTGTTATGTTGGAAGGTCAAAAAAAGTCAGGTGGAAAAGTCATGACTCACATGCTATCCAGTCATGGTGGTAAGTTTACAATATTTTTATTAACATGTTTTATACTAAATTTATGATTATGTATTATATTTATATATGATATTTTTGCCTATGTGTGATTTGTAAATGAGCGGGGTTTTAACCCCGGTTAAAAATGAGACTTTTTTCAAACCTGGCCCTGGCTAAACTATAAGATTTAGCAGTGGTTGATAGCTAGGGCTAGAAAAAAAATTTATAATACTTTATATATTAAAATACTATTTATTAAATACTGGCATATATTTATAAATTTTCAAATACTAATTTACTTCCATCAAAATTGCAAGCAACCACTATTAATTTATTAGTTACTTTAAAATAGAGAATAAGTAAAAATACTAGGAAATGGTTAACTGAAGACTTAAAAATTTTGTAGGTTGCATATAAAAGAAAAACATGAAGATGTCTAATAGTTATAAGGTTTTTTTGTTTTTAAAGCATGAAGGGACAGATACAGTAAAAAGTATGCAACTTGTTGAATAAGAAACAAGCAAATATGAGTTTTGGTTTATCGTAATAGAGACGATAGCTTGTTAGAGAATTGGCTATAATTATATATGTAGAAAAAAGAAATGCAACCTTACAACAATGGGAGAGTGACTCAAGCTTGGCAGATAAAGCAGGTCTAGTTTATTATAATTTTTTATATGTTAGTTCACCTCCCTAAGGCTGAAAACGCCACTACGGATAAGGAGGCTACTTAATTGTAGTTATAACCCTCTCTCAACTATATAACTCCAAAACACGAATCTTGATAACCAAAGCCACTGCACAAAGAAACACATTGAGCGCTGTACTACCAGGGACTTCGTGGGGATCAGACTCGGTACCTCTCACTTACGACTTGAGCGCTCTACCTTTGCACCTCTTCCGCATTACATTTACAATGTGCTTTTAGACTTTGTCTGAGAGTAAGAGGGTTGTTATTCATCAATATAGGAATACCAACGTTATTGCAATATTTTTTTGCAGTAAATAAATGAGTTTTGTTGGCTAACAAAAATTGCTGATTTTACGTCCAGAATTTAAATCCATAAGCCACAGCAAGCCTTAGGCAGAAGGGAGATCAGGTTAAAAATCAGCTGCTTGTTCCAAGCAATCAATAAGTGAAGGTTTTTTGTCAAGACAAGAGTATAGAGTTGAGTCGTCAACAAATAGAGCCACTTTCGATGTTAAATTTTCATGAAGATTAATTTTATAGATAAGAAACAATACATGAGCAAAAATTTAAGGTTACCACAAGATACCTTGTGGTACCTTTAAAGTTACTTATAAAGTAACTTTAAGGGTACCACAATAATAAATAAGAGTGTAAGCCTTCAATAATAACTTTATTACTGCAGTTAGTAAGAAATAATAATCTCAAATAATCTCAAAACCTTTATATAAAAAAAATGACAAACTGAAGGCAAATCAGAGGATAGTTAGAGAGTTCAAAGTGTTTTCTACAGTTAAGAAAAATTGGAACCACTTATTTATAGGGGGGGGGGTCCATAATCGTCTTTTTTTAGATTTTTTATAGTTTAACCAATTTTACTTAATAAGTTTTTCATGCTGATTCTGAAAATCATTATCATTTTTTTTCATTTTAATTATTTAGCCTTCTACTTCAATTTTAATAAAAGTGAATATATTGACAAAAAAAGGCATTGTTAAAAATAGATGAAATTATTATTATCATTAAATATAAGAAAAGTAGAAAACTAGAAATCTTTTTCTGTTTAATTTATCAATAATAAACCTTATGATTTATAAGTAACAAAAAAAAAATTAAGCATTATCTATGAAAATAATTCATACAGTTTGTTATTTATTATTGAAAATGGAAAATAACTATAAAAGTCATCATATGTGATAGAGATTGCTGCGGGAACTTTCCTTATAGAACATCTAGGTTATAAGCGTATTCTTTGGTAGACATAAGATGGAGATTTGTATTTTTATATCAACAATCATGTATTTAAACAGAATAGACCTCCGCGACAATGACCTACATTGTATCCCTAAAATTAAGAACCTCATTTTTCGAACTTCTTTTCATTTTAACATATCTTTATCTACTTCAATAATGTCTAGTTCACAGCTAAATGGGCTGCCTTGTAACTTTAATCAAGCTAAAATAGAACTCATCTTGCACACCTGGTGTAAAGTTTGCTGCTCTTCCATTGTTATCCATTTGTTTTTGTAGCTGGTTTCAGCTGTATTCCATAGTTTCAACTTTTTGGACAAATAACTTGACAATGATTCTCCAAAATATTTTTAAACTACGCGAACCTTCATTTTTTATATGGTTTAAATAATTAAGTACACATCTACTGTTGAAATTAAATGGGTTTTTTCCAAAGCTTTCCAACTGCAACAACTTAATTAGAAAGTTAATACTAATCATATTCCATCATCAACCAAACACATAATACTTTTCTCCTTTTTGTAGTCCTAAGGCTAACTTTTCCCAAAATATTCTAGCAAAAATGATACAATCATTCAATCTCTTTGAGGTATACTTATTAACTGCTTCTAGAGTTTTTTTTAACTAGCTATTCACTGCGTTTTAGAGTAAAGCAGAAAGTTTCAAAATTTTATAACCCAGCTTGTTTTTTATAAAGCCTTTTAGGTAGCGGTATTCCTTTAGCTTGTTTATCTTTAGAGTTGTTAAACCTTTAGAATTTAACTGAACTTCTACTGACTGGCACTTTAAAAGAAGATTTATTCTTGACTTCATTAAATAAAAGTGAAAAAAAAAAATGAAATCTTGAATAACCCTTTTGATAGCTTGAATAACGATTAAAAATAAATAAAAAAAAAGGAAATTAAGATATTTTGAAGCAATCTGTCTTTTTGATTACTTAAAACGTTTTGTTTAGAAAGAGAATTCAGTCAAAACTTTTTTTTTCGAAGCAATCTGTTGTTTTACTTATTTAAAACGTTTTTTTAGAAAAAGACTTCAGATAAAACTTTTTTTCTTCTAAAGCGCAAATTTTTTTTTTTTTCAAAATCAAATTTTTCCAATCAAAATTTGAATAGCATAAATTTGAAAGAAAAGTTGCGTAACTTTATATGCAAAGAAACTTTTGCAAAGACTTTCATTTTTTATACCTTTAAATTTTTAAAATAGAAGTAGAATGTCAACCATAAAAAGTTAGCAAAAACTGAATTGTTTTTTGAACTTTTCTCAAAAAATTAATTAAGATTAACTGGTTAAACAAGAAATATAGAATTTTAGACCCCCTTATTATTTAGCATTTTTATCAAATTAAGTATTATTAAATATTATATAATTAATAAGATTTAAAGTTAGACTTTAGTTAATGATATTGTTGAAGACTAACCAAAAGTCTCTAGAACCTAACATCTTATATAAGATACAAGATTTAGTAAACTGAGAATAACAGAGCTTAACATCAGATGGGACCTTTTTACATTGGCTTCTTGGAATCATAAAAGGACATTTGTTCTTAAGAGAGATGTTCTTGTAAAAAAGATAAAATAAATTATTAATAAAGAAACTGCTCAAAATGGTGAAAAATATGGAGTAGAATGAGGTTTGACTTAAAATTGAAGAGTAGGAATGAAAGATTCCAAACTTTTAGTCCAGAATGAATATAATCTTTTAAAGATGCGCTTTATGTATTCATATTATGGATATAAACATATATGTTTGTTATTTATTTAGATGCTGGCATACAATATCCTTTCATATTTATATCAATTTTAGTATTTATATGGTGTAGTATTTGCCGAAAGAGATGATGGTGATGATGATGATGATGATGATGATGATGATGATGATGATGATGATGATGATGATGATGATGATGATGGTGATGATGATAATGGTGATGATGATCATGTTGATCATAATGATGTTTATATATGCATTTATATACAAAATATAACATGAATTTTGAATTAAAAAAGTATACTTTAGGATGTATAAATATTTACGCAGCCCCAGTCACAAACCCGGCCCCGGCTATATTTTATCAAACCCGGCCCCGGTCAAATATCAACCCAGGTCGTTTACTATGTGTGATATATGTGCATTTGTGTGATATATGTATTTACATGTGACAGGCTTGGTTGGGAAGCGGGAATGATCCCTCTCATATGCTGACCACGGAAATTGTATTTAGTTGCGAAATATTGGCCAGGTTTTTTATTCGTTTTGAAAACATTAAAGTTTATGTTAAAAACAAAAAATTTTTGTTTTACGGACATACATGGAAACATAAAAAACATGAATGTTCTCAAAACATCTTGGTGCAAAAGAATAAAAAGAATATTCGCTAACACTAAAAACCCGCCAAATTAACAAACAAACTAATTCTATTGGTTCAAAAAATACGCTGACTAAGCGAAATAAAGTTCTAGAGTATTCTGTTGAAATATTGTAGAAAGTGTATTATTTACGGTTTGTTACATTTTGAGATTTCTAGTATAAATTGTTTTAAAAATATATATTTGTTTACAAAAATAAATGTTTTAAATATATATTAATTAAATTATAGATTTTATTAGTATATTCTTATTTTTTATTTAAAAAGTATGTATTCTTTATGTAAATGTAATTTTGTGTTATCTGTTTTTATCGTTATGTATCTTTTAATGCAATTTTTATGATTTAAACTTAGACTTACAAAAATAACTGCGTTTTCAATGAAGTTATAATCATTAAAGTTAGTAAAACTAATTATGTAACTAACGCATAAAAAGTTTCTAGTTACTAAACACAAACAATGCATACAAAGTAACTCGCAGATGAACAAACACCACGCCTGAGGTCACAACAGAACACAAATATATATAGCAAATAATTAGATATAAAGAAAAGTTTCTAGATATTGGTTCACTAACTCTAATTATTTTTGCTTAAATTTCCATTCTTAAAACTCGTTATACTTTTTTCTGCTTTAAATACTAATTAAAGTTAAAAAGCACACTCACTAAACATCATCAGCAATATTGTGAAGCAGTTTCGCTTCCTCGTCATA